GGATACGAAGAATGTGGTATATTTACCCAATGAAATACTATCCTGCTATAAAAATGAATGAAATACTACCATTTGCAGCAACGAAGATGAACTTAGAGAACATTATGTTAAGTGAAATAAACCAGGCACAGAAAGATAAATACCATGTTCTCACTTATATATGGGAACTAATAAAAAGAAAGGAAGAAACAAACAAACAAAAAAAGATACAACAATCACAGTAATTCATTGAAATTTTAAGAGAAGAAAACAGAACTGAGGATGTCAGGGGTGTAAAGGGGAAATGAGATGAGGAAAGGGCCACAGAAATGGATTGTATTGTATAATGATAAATTTTTTAAAATTAATTAATTTAAAAAATAAAAATAAAATGGAAATAATAATAAAAATATTGGGGAAATGAGATGAGGAAAGGGCCACAGAAATGGATTGTATTGTATAATGATAAATTTTTTTAAAATTAATTAATTTAAAAATAAAAATAAAATTGAAATAATAAAAATATAAATATTTACATATTCCGGAGATTAGGGCTTGGTATATCAGCAGAACATTTTTTTCAGTCTACCCCTATATACATTGTGTTCTTTATTTTTATTTACATCATCCGTCACAAAATATTCCTAGCTCCCAACTCAGCCTTCCTCTCTTAGCTCCCAACTCACACCCATCCTGACTGGTTTTTATATAACTCTATGACCATGACCACCTTGTGTGCTCTTAATGCTGACAAGTAATCAACTGTATGAACAGAGTCCCCTCAGTCTCCTACTATTGTTTCGTACCTCTTTCTCCTCCCCCTTCAAACCCAAAAGATCTCCACCATCATGCTCATTCTCAGTCAATAACTTTCCTTTCACTCAGAAAATAAAAGATATCAGAAAAGGACTCCTACAAATAGATATCGTGATGTCTACCCACAAGCAGTATCTATACTCACACATACTGTCTTCCCTTCTTGTTACCAAAAATCTTGTATCCATGGTCCTATCTAAATTCAATCCCTCCACTTTGTGCTATATGTCCCAACATCTTTCAAATTACTCAAAAAGTTTGTTCTCACAGTTCTCTACTCTCTCTTTTCATCATCAGTTTTTCTTTTTCTACTGCATCATCCATCATCACGCAGACATACTGTTACTTCTCCCACCTGAAACAAACAAACATTCTCTTTTCCCCTACTTCCCCGACAGCTGCAGTTTGACTTCCTAAGTCGACATTTCAGAATAATTATTCTAAAGAGTTGCCTAGTTTTATTGTCTCCAAATTCTTTCGTCTTTTAAATCCACTTCAGTCAAGTACTCAACCCTGCCACTCACCACGCCAGCACTACTCTCATTTATGTCACAAGTGTGCCTCATATTGTTAAATTTAGGAGTAACTTCTCAATCCTCTTCTTACTGTCTTACTTGTAATCTGATGTGTCCTGAAGAGTTCTGGTTTACAGTTTTTCTGCTATCATCAATAATGTCTAATTTCATTCTCAAACATCTTGATTTGGATGTTAATTGTATAGTTACCCTAAATGTTAGCAGCATTATACAGAGCTGATGGAGCTTTTCATCCTCCAAATAATTTCTTCATGTGACTTTCACTCTTCTGGTTTTTCAACTTTCTTCCTGGCCACTCCTTCTCGGTCTCATTTACTGTTCCCTCCTCTTCTCTACAACCTCCTAATGGAGGAGTCTTGGGCTCAGTACTTGAATTTTTTCTCTTCTGGTAGGTAACCACTGTTGTAATATTTAATGCAATTGTACTGAAAATGAAATGATAAAGTACTTTATCATTGAATGAGAACAAAGATCTATGTATTAACCCCACTGTAACAGTGTTGAGGGTGGAAAATCCAATTATGTATATTAAAAGGCAGGGCCTTTAAGAGGTGATTAGATTCTGAGTACTGTGGCCTTATGACTGGATTGATTCATTCACTAAATAATGGGTGTGGTTCTGATGGCTTTAAAAGGAGAGCAAGAGCAAGTCAGGAGCTTAGCTCTCGCTCTTGCTTGAGACATTTGCCATGTGACAGCCTGTGTTGTTGTGAAGAGTCACCACCCACCAACAAGGCCCTCACCAGATATGGCCCCTGGACTTTAGACTTCCCAGCCTCCCAATCGTAAGCAATAAATTTTGTTTCTTTCTATATTACCCTGTTTTAGGTATTCTGTTATAAGCAACAGAAACAGACGAATATAAAAGCAAAGACAGAGTTTAAAAATAGATCAATGGCTTTTCCTGTTTTCCTTCTTGGCCCATCTTTTCATCATGACTCACAAAAATTAAATATTTTGACATTATTTTGTTAAAGGAAAAGATACTCCATATTGATCAAATGGAAATATAAGATTTAGCCTTAACTTGACCAATCTTCCAAGAGTGTAATTACTGATACTGAATTCCACTTCAAGTTTCTTCTATGTAATAATAGATAAGCAAAAAGCTTAAAGGAAAAAAAAAAGAATTGCATATCTATGTGCAAAATTCATATGGATGCTTGGAATATTATGTGCAATCTGTCATTTCATTCTCTCTACTCAGAGCCTTTCATGTAATGAAAAGAAAACTGGTAAAGCATTGATTGCTCCAATTCTAAAGCAACTGCTTTTTTTCTTTTGTTTATTTTGTTGGTGAAAGGGTAAGGAAGACTTTAAGAGAGAGGCATGTTGGAAAGCAATCATTGAATATAAATGTAAATTACAACATTCCCACAAATTGTAACATATCATTATCTTGCCCATCCTTTAAAGACCACATTACCTTTATTATCATTTTTTTTAACAAAAGGTAAGTTACAGGTTAAATGAGTCCATTCCTAAGAAAATATATTTTATACTTTTAGATTGCAAATCATCTACCAAATATTAGTTTATCTATTACAAATACATTCCAGGTATGTTTGAGAATTAGTTCTTTCTTTGTACTGTTGCCAAAATTTCGATTTGTAGATCATGATATCACTAACACCTAAAACTGTATGGCACATATCGAGTAAGAATATGACTAGAATGAACAGAAGCAAAATAAACCAATTACAAAGGCAGTCCTGAGCTCCATTTACATTTGAAAAATTAAATCCTTTACTAGCACACTTCTGAAATCACTGAGTGACCTTGTGGAGCTAAAGCTTTCAAAGAAGAAAATGAATAAAAAGACAGGCAAAGAGGAAACATAAAAGCAAATGAATGAGAAAATTTCCAGGGAAGCAATAGAGACAGTAAAAGCCAAGAACAAAATGTGCTTTTAAAAGACATCTTGAGATTATGATTAAGAAGTTATCTATAAATAAAAAATGAGTTTTCAAAAGATGGAAAAATATTAAATATCTGATTTATTTTTTCACATTCCAAATGTGTCTGGTGCTGTAAAGGCAAAGGTTATAATCAAAAGCAGAAAATTTCAGATCTGAGAAGAAACTTAACAATTAACTAGTTTAGACTCTTTTGACAAAGGAGTAATGCAATTATTTAATACTGAAATTACTTGCATAAGCTGTGGAAAGTGTTGTTTATCAGTTCTTTAAGAGTTTCTCTCCATGACTTCCCTTCTCCTAACTTCCAATGCTGTCCCCCATTCACAGCAATGCCACATTCCCCTGAACATAGCTATGGTCCAAAGATGATCCATGGATGACCAATAAGATTTCTTTCTTGAGCTTTTACTCGGGACATTGAAAGAAGAAATCCCTTTCCTATTGGGTTTCAATCTTCAAAAAAAAGTTACCTGGAGCTCTCAGCATCCCAAAGTCTCCAATCACAGGAGAAAACTGACCTGCAGTAAAAAGACACATGTTAACACAGTTTTAAAAATATATTTCTTTTTAGCCCTTGAGTTCTTTTATACTTAAAGTCAGGTCCAATTGTGGACTTTCAAGTACAAAAGTCCATTATTTCCCTTTTGATTTGTACAACGTTGGTTTGAGTTTCCATCACTTGTAATCAAAAGCATTCTGCCTAATATGTGTGTCTATGTTCTTATATGTGACCCTCAGACAGCATTTTCATAGCTACTGTAGAGGATGATAAATAACTTTCTTTCCCATTACTTGGTTCATGGTTGAGGATACTATAGCAAAAGACATATTAACAAGAGAAAGGCATATAAATTTATTTAATATGTTTTAAGTAACATGGAAACTTTCCAAAATGGAGTCCCAAAGAAACAAGTAAACATGTATATGGTTAGGTTTCAAAATCAGTAAAATCTAATGGCAATAAACTGGGGGGAACTTAGTAAGGCCCACTTATTTGGGTTCTTTTCTGTATCCTAGTATCTTTAGAGATAAAGATGTTCCTTTCTTCCAGGTATAAGGAGAATACCTCTCAGATGTGTGTCATAAGACCTGCTTCAGGAGAGAAAGAAGGGAAGGTGAAAATGACCTTCTTCACTCTGCTGTTTTCTCAAATTCCAAGGTACCATATTTTGGGGTAGTATGTCCTGAATCTCATCACTACAAATATAATTTCTTTGTCATCTTTCTTATGACTTGTTATATAATGACATTAATCTATCCCAGGCTAAATGTGTGTCCATATAAACGTATTCAGAGCCAGTCTCAGAACTTAGGTCTCCTAAGGCCATTATCATTTCCTTACAGAGGAATTGGTTAAGTATCCTTCATAGTCAACCTCAAGAGCTTCCACTGATCAAAGAATCAAAATTCTAGCTATGTACCAGGTTTGTGGGAATATATAAGTTATGTATGCTTTCTTCGTTAATCTTCTCAACAATTTAATTATATAAATTAATAATCTCCATTTTAAAGGTAGAATAACAGGATTAAATAAGTGAAAGAATTAAAATTTAAACCTGAAAATGGGGTAGTAGTTTTCTAGTACTCATTCTTTCACAGAAATGTTCATTTAAACAAGCACCATGTATGAAAATACCTTCACAAGAGCTAAGAAATCCAGGTGAGAAATTACAGCACCTGTGTTTAGCACAGAAATAAGAAAAAAATGCATTGAAGAGAGTAGGAAGGATGGGTAAACATTACACACATCATGCCTCCCACAAGCCTGGTAGCACATTATGAGAGACAGATACCCTCTGCAAGGGGGAAGGAGAGTGAAATCAGCATACAACTTTGCCATGGGCCCCAGCACAAGGCCCATCCCGGTGAAATCTGCCTGCAGGTAAGGACTCCATGGCCACAGGTACAGGCCAGCACCCACAGACCCAGGCTCCAGGTCTGCCCCATGCTAAAGGGCAACCACAGCACCAGGCCAGCCCCTAAGCCCTAGACACTATGCCAGTCTCAGTAAACCCCAGCTCCAGGCCAGCCTCTGTAACCCAATGTACCAAGCCAGCACCTCTGGACCCAGGTTCCAGGTCCACTCCAGTAAACCCTGATGCTGGGCTTGCCCCCAGTGACCCAGGCACTAGGGCTGTTCCATGTTAGTCCTTCCTTAGTAGACAGTATCAGTTGTAGTGTCTCTTTTTTCATTTCAGCATGGACCCAGAACCTTGCCCATCCCAGTGCAAAGCTGGCTCTCATAAACCTAAGCTCACAGCCAGCCCCAGGGCCAAGCTGGTCCCCACATACATGCTCCAGGGCTGCTGCCATGTATCCAGACTCCAGATTCACTCACATGTTGATCCAAACACAAAACCAGCCTGCCTGATGACTCCATCCAAAGACCTTGCCAGACAGCCCACTCAGAATTTAATGCTGAACTGTCCAGTGAAGGGTTTTCCCTGCTGAAGCCAGTCTATAAATGCTTGAATAGGTGTCAGCTTCTTTAAAAGTGAAAATACCAAGCATGGCCACAAGGATCATGAATAATCAGGGAAACATGGCACTATCAAAGAACAAAATAAAACATTAGTAACTGACTCTAAAGAAATAAAAATCTATGAACTGCCTGAGGAAGAAATCAAAATAATCATCTAACAGAAGCTCAGTGTGCTTCAAGAAAGTATGTATTGACTACTAAACAAAATTGGCAAACCAATACACAAATAAAATGAGAAGTTCAACAAAGACATAGTAACCTTACACACACACACACACACA